CATTTTCTGTCTGATTTCACATTTTGTTACACACAGAGTTGGGGGTTTTAAGAAGTTCCCTCTAGTAATTAGAATGTTTTTGATGCAATTTGATAGGAACCCAATTCAAAGTGTCCTAAACAATAAAGATAATCATTATCTCACAAAATTAGAAGCCCAGAGACAGGTTGGCTCCAACCTTCAGGATTCTCGCTCTGCCTCCTAGTTCTCTTTCAGGCTTGGCCTCAGACCTGTAGCACAAAGGCTGCTGCAGTTCAGGCATCATAGCCAGACCACACAATGCGCAGAACAAGAAGGGATGGTCTCTTCTTATATCTCTTCCTTTGTAGGGAGGAGACCTTTCCCAGAACCTCTTCAGCAGAAGTTGCCTTCCCATCTCCTTGGCCAGGTTTGGTCACGTGCCTAAGCCCATAGCTAGAAAGGAGAATGGGATCTGTGATTGGCTTAAATTAACCAGGAACCATCCCTGGTGATGGGAGGTGGTGAGTGGCCCCTGAAGCATGAGGCTGCACGGCAGAAGACGGACACCTGTATGGGAAGGATGCCTCTTCAACACTCCTGTGGCCCTGTCTCCCAGCTCAGTACTGTGGATGGTTGTGCTAGCTCCTCCTCCAGCCTCAGTCTATTCCTGCAGCTGCCAGCCAGAGAGGGCACCAGCCAGCACTGAACATTTCTGTCTTAAAGTTTTCCTCTCCACTTCTGCACCAAGGACACACTATCTCCTTCCTGGAACAAATCATTCTCATGTTTTGAGGAATTAGTGTTCTCATTTTGTTTCTCTGTTTAAAACATACTAGCAATCATTTGCAAAGTAATTGCATAAACTATTTTTTAAGATGGACTATTTTTTGAGAGAAGTTATAGGTATTTGGAGGATTCCAAAACTTCATTTCATGTAAGCTAGTTAGGAGGAAGCAGAAAAGATGCATGGTTATTGAATCAATGAGTAAATGAATATTAAGCTATGGAGAGTAAGCTGTGTCTTTGGGTCCCTGCTCTGGCCAGAGGCAATTCTCTGCAGCATGTGCCATGTTCCCTAAGGACTCTGGTGGGTTTTCAGACTTCTGGAAGAGTAAAACCCTCCCCTCCTGCTCTCCTCTACTGAACTACAGATCTGCATCCTCCTCCTTCCTGGTAAGTCCTTTTGACTGTAGCTCCTGAGATCCTATCCTGTTTTCCTCTGCGCTCTCTGGTGTTTAGAGGCTTGGTTGCAAGCTGGTATTAAGTCTGGTTCTGCACTTTGGTGAGCTTTACTTCTTCACTTCTTGTAGTTGGAACTGTCTTATTTATTAGCATCTTTTCTTAAAGGCTTTCTGGTTCACATCACATATTTAGCTCACTAGAATCCCTATCCCAACTCCTACACCCACAGTTAAAGCACAAATGGGTTCCCATGGGCCATGGGAAGACAGCTTACACGCAGAGCCAAGGTGGCTGGCTGCTAAAGCCATGCACCTTCAAGGGGGTACCTTCTTTGCTTAGGCCCTTGCTGTTCTTGGGGAACCCATCACCCATGTGCCCCCCACCCCACCCCAGGGTTATGCCTTGCAGTTTTCCATTCCCAGAATGCTTTTACCATTCAGGAAAAAAGGGCATTGTTCTCACCCAGGAAAGACAAGGAAGTTCCCTAGCACTCCCTCAAAACTAGCTTTTGGAGAATCCCAAACAGGCCGTGATGCTTTAAGATGTCTTTTGCTTTTGAGCCAGATGAAGAAAGGAAGATCACAAAGGAAGGCCCAGATCCAAAGTGAATTCTTTTGTCTAGTAGATGGTTTATTTTAAATGTGAAAGTTCAAGGTTACAAAAACAAAAGGATTGAATGGGGCATTTGTGAATTCTGAAGTGTAGACATTTCTCCATGCTTGGAGGATGTGCTCAGATATTTGCGTACTTTTTGTCATTGTTGAATTAAAAGAGTTACTGAGGCTGTGGAACATTGCACCCAGAATGATGTGAAAAATAAATAAATGATGATACAAGACCCAGAATCCCAAGGAGGTAAAGGAGAGAAAATATGGTTGGTGTTATCCTCATGTGGCCCCAGGACACCTGGTTGAGAAACCTCTTTCCGACATACCAAACCGTAAGTTGGATGAAGTTATTGATTGGATGGAATAAATTGGGCAGGTCAACTGTTGTCAAGAAGACTGACCTATAGCAGTGTCCTTCCTGCTTTCCCCTCCTTCATCCTTACTTACCTAATTTTGTTAAGACCTCTCTTTATGAACTTGACTTTAGATTGCATTGGCTTGATCAGGCAGCTTTGAGAAAGAGATGCCCTGTGGGGAAAAAATAGAATTCTTCTTTAGTAACTGGGTTGAAAGAAAGAGCGTGCATTTTGGGGTGTTCAGGTCCAGCTCTTTCATAGAGCAACTGCATGCTCTTATATAAGGTATTTCATGTCTCTAAGTTTCATTCTCTTAGCTGGAAAATGCAGACCAAACAGTTTTTGAAAATATGTTCTGAGAATGAGTGATGTATACAAGTTGCTGTGTATGGTACCTAGTGCAAAGTAAGTAAGGTATGATATAATGTATGAAAATAATCACTCTGCCTTCTTTGTGGTGGCAGGAGACAAGTTAGGAGGCGATTGCATGGATAACATGGCAAGAAATTATAGTAGCCTAGACCAGGGTAGGAGTGCTAAAAGTAATAAGAAACAGACCAATTCTGGTCATATTTTGAAGATAGAGCAACAGAATTTTCTGATGGATTCCCTATGGGGTATGTGGGGAGCAAGAGGGGAATTATGAATAACTCATATTTTATGCTTGGGCAGCTTAAAAGATGGACTTGTCATTTACTGAGATAGAGAGGACTGAGGGAAGAGTAGGTACTGGGGAAGTTGGAGTTGTCTATGAGACACTAAAGAGGAGGGGTTGAGTAGACTTTGGAGTTTGGGGAGAGGCCCAGACTGGACATAAACATTTGAGAGTCTTTAGAGTATAGATGATACTTAAAATCATGAGCTCAGATCAGATCCTCTTGGGAGTGAGGGAGGATAGAAAGAATCTAGGTCTGAGAACTCAGCCCTGGAGCAGCCCAGTGCTACACATCAGGGAGATGAGGAGGAACAAACGCATCTCCCACCTCCTCTTCTCCCTCCCTCCTTTTCTCTCCCCTCGGCTTCCTTCTTCTTTTATCATTATGAAAGGGGACTGTTCTATTTAATTCAGTTAGCCTTCACTTGAACAAAGTTGCTTACAACACTTTTTTGGGTTTGCTTTTAAAAAGTGATATATGCTCTTTGAAACTTCAAAGTCTTTTACGAAAAAAAACCCCAAAAAGAAACAAAAACACCCAACTCCAAGCTGCAGAAGAGGCCTCGTGGTGCAGGCATTGAACCAGCAAGTTCAGTGCATCTGGAGATCAAGTTCCTCTCAGGATTAGTGAAATCGAGCTTTTGTTAGCATTAATTTAATGGTGGAATGTCAACTTGAAAACCTCAAAAATCCTTTTCTGCTTTGCATCTCTTTCCCTTTTTCATCCAAAAGAAAAACTATGTGAAGCCAGAAGGGAGAATCTGAGAAAGGTTTGACTCTTCCTTTGGTGAGATAAACAATCTGCTGTTTCATGGCACCAACACAGAAATCATGTGTTTGAAGAACAGGCTGAGACGACAGCATTACTCAGGATCGTTTAGGGAGGCAAGGTAGGGATAACTCAATTCCTGTGGTAAAGATCTGGGTGTCTCAGTGGACCATGGGTTTTCTATGAGCCAAGTAAATGACATGGTTGTTACAAGAACCATCACAATTATAGGTTGAATTCAAAGAGATCCAGTATCCTGGCCATAGGAAGTCAGAATTCCCTGAATAAAGAGACTTCTGGTTGGATGATACCAGCATCTAGGGTTGCTGGCCACCATATTTATCTCATGGCTTCAGCTAGGACTATAACATCAGAGAGAGATAGTGCACCTAAGGTCGGTAGTGACTCAGGAGACCTGATTTAAACAGACAAGCTAGGACAGATGCTTTTGAGAATCTGAAACAATATAGTTGTCAGGTGATTGAAGAGAGAAGAGAGCTGGAACAGAGAGGCCGTGTGAGACATAACAAGGTGAGTGTCCAGAAAAAGCATGAATAGAGAGAAGAGGAGGAGGAGGAAAAAGCAGATGCACAGAGACAAGGAGAGAGGCCTTTGGGAGACAGAAGGATACAGACATTAGGACAGACACACATAGTAGGGTCTTCAGGTCCTGCCTACTCTGCTTCTTTCCTGTCCTTGGGTTCTGTGGGGTCAGTTATCACTGACACAAGCTCCTTTACACTTGAGCCAGCAGAGTGGGTTTCTGTTCTTTGCAGCTAAACGCATCCTACAATTTCCCCATCCCGCTGGCCATTAGGGTCTGCTCATCCGTTGTCAGCCAGCCTGGAATTCCTCCTTCCTCCCTTGACTTTCCCTGTTTTACTCTGCACTCAAAGCCATGCTGACGTTCCTATATCTCCCATGAAGCCCTACCCAACCAGACCAGGTTCCAGAGGACTCTCTTTCCCCTGAGCTTCTACAGCTTTTCTAGCCTTCCCAGCCCACCCCATCTTCCCATGGCAGACCAGGGACATGTAAGCACTGAGTTCAGGGGAGCCCAGAAGAGGGGGAAAACTCCTCCAGGCTTCTCCAAGAGCAGCCCTGCTTTCTCTGAAATCCTCCTCTGACCTCCATCTCCTTATGAGACTTCCAAGGTCACCCTGGTATCACAGCCCATCCTTCCCTGCATCCTTCTACCCTCTTCCCACACACTCATGTCAGCACATGGTTGCCGAGTAATGAAAAATTGAGCTTCACTGCCACTGCATCCAAGACCTACCTGACCAAACCCCATAACTAACCTCTGCAAATTGGCTTTTGATCCCATCAGTCTATTTAAACAGCTCTCTCAAAGGTCCAATAGCTTGTTCACTATCTTCACTTGTAATTTAAAGCTTTTCTAGAGACCCATCTTTCTAAAATCTATTCCACCAGTCTGGACCTCACTCAAACAACAATCCTTGCAATCTTGTATTTCTATCAGTCTTCTGGGTATCCCAATAGCATCTCAAACTGAACTCATATCTTCCTTTACCAATGGATTGCTGCCCCTGTCTTTCTAAGGCATTCACATTCTCTGTACTTGTCCAGGGATCAAAAGTTTGGAATCATCCAATCTCTCATGTCCACTCCCCACATGCATTTTGGTCACAAGTTCCTGCCCACCTTCATTACTGCTGTTACCACTTCTCTGTAGAGCTCCAACTGCCCATGTGTCAACCTCCATTGGGATGTTTCATAGTCACCTAAAACTTAACATGTCCAAAGTGGAATTCTTGAGCCTATTATCCTGTCCCCTCAGCTCACTTTTACCTCCATAAATGACTTCATTCTAAGCCCAGTTGCTCAACCTGGCCATCCTTGACATGTTTTCCTATCTTGAGGGCCACATTTCTATGGGGTGTTTCAGGAGCACTCAGAATTGCTAATCCCTATGTCTATAAAAAAAATCTACTCAATATTCATTTATAGTTTGTTTATTCCTTTAGCCTAACGGCAGTTAGTCCAAGTGCTGCATACAAAAACTATTTGAGCTAATTCTTTTCAGCCCCTTCTGTCCATAGACTTTCAATTGGACCCTCTATGTTTGCTCCATCTCTCATTTCTGTCCCTGTCACACCTGGCTTTTCAAGTGAAGGGCCTCTCTGGGGCACCAGAGCCCCCTTCTCTGTGGATTGTCTAGGGCTAGGCTGGGGCCTTCTCCTCCTGGCTCCATTAGGCATCATGCCTCTATCACAGCCGTGGGCAAACTACGGCCTGCGGGCCGTATCCGGCCTGTTTGGCTGTTCTATCCGGCCCGCGGAGCTGAAAGAGCGGAGGGTTCTCTTGCTCTCCCCTCTGCTCCTTCACCAGCAGCAGTGTTAACATGTATTAGTTCACACAAACACTCCATCCATGCTTTTGTTCTGGCCCTCCGGTCCAGTTTAAGAACCCATTGTGGCCCTCGAGTCAAAAAGTTTGCCCGCCTGTTCCAGAAATGTGTTCACTCATGTCTGCCTCCTCCAGGTCTCTATGGCTAAGGGTTCCTTCGTTCTGAAGGAGCCCTTTGTTATCATTTTAATGGGATCCTGGGAGGGAAAGGAGACACTTAGGCTCCCAGTCTGCTGTCTTGAACCTGATTCCCAAGGACTCCAGAATCAGAAAGATGTGGGTTTACAAACTGAGACAATGGTTAGCTTCTTGACTTCTCCAACTCTCAGTTTCCTCATCTAAGAAATGGGGTGAGAACCCTGCATCACATGAATTTGAGGAGAACTGAACTAGATCTTATATATAAGGTGGCAGACACAGTGTTTGGCACCATGTTCAGTAAATGACACCTGTTATTGTCACCTGGATGAAATTTCTGCTGATTTGGCCCCTGATTTGTCTTCAGGGCCTACTAAAGGGGCATCGCAGAGCCCTTAAGCATAAATCGGGCAGGGAGCAGTCATCTCAGCATCAGCCCTGAGCTGAGAGTGCTCCTTTGCAGATGCTACATCTCCTGGCTTGGCTTCTCTTGGTCCCAGGATGTGCTTTTGGCCTGGGACTTGTACATTTCTCCCTTGGCCTTGAGTCAAATGGCCTGTGGTGCCTCCAACACCCACTGCTTTTATGCTGAGGACACATGATTGTCTCTGATGGGCCTGAGTGATGAGCTGATGATTTGGGTAGAGTGAGGCCAAATCCCTGTGTGGCTCCAGGGATGGGGATAAATATAGCTCAAGTAATTGCTCATGCTCTTTTAAGGACTAGAAGTCAGCTTCAGGCAAACTGGGAAGCTCCATGACCAGGACAGCAAGGGACACGGTTCCTTTTTTTTTAGAGCTGTGGTCAGAACCCCCTGTGCACTGCTGGATTCTGGACCTCTGTGATGCAATTTCCACTGAACAAAGGGGCACCCTTCACTAGTCTACACCCCATGAGGGCAGGGATGTGTCTGAGGTCTCTCCACCACATAAGGGAAAGGAGCTTTAGGGCCAAACAACCTAAGTTCACATTTACTGGCTATGGAACATTAGTTGTTTCATTTCTAAGTCTCCAACACAATGTCCGGCCCACTACAGGGGCTCAGTAAACATTCTAAATGGATAAATGAGCAGTGAGGGAGCTAGATTTTAAAAATAATTTTAGAATAAGATCTGTAGCCTAGTTAACAGTAATGGACCAATGCTAACTTCCAGGTTTTGATACTGTACAACAGCCATATTAGATGTCACCGCTGGGGAGAAGCTGGGTGAAGGGTACATGGGACTATTTTTACAACTTC